GGCTCTGTTTTCTTTCCATTTGAAAACGTCTTATTAAAAATCACTTGTTAGACATCTCTAATACCAGACTGTTCTTGTTAAAGTTATCAGAAAAAAAAAAATACAAGTGGATGCTTTTCAGTCAGAGTTAAGCCCATCTCCATGGGGCACTGGGGAGGCTGCCAGGTGCTTTTGGTAACAGGGACATAATAACTCTAGTACAGACATATTGTAGGCACATGCTAGCTATTCAAAACCACATGGAGGGAATCAAGGAGTGGGGTAGGGGAGGGGCGGGGCTTAGAGAATGAATAAAAGACAAAATGGTCCCCAAGTCTTTGCTATGGCTCTTCGTGGGCTGAAAGCTCACATTGTGTGAAGCTGCAATCAAAACGAGGTAATTTAGCTTCGCAGACTGTGTCAGAGGTACCAAACTGTCCTCCTTAGCCAGCTAGGGTCTCGTACTACCAAAAAAGTCCCCTTCATTAACTACTGTGGTTTATAGTCCTACAGCCCACACTCGCTTCATATTCTCAGGGAAACATAATTTTTAAAAAATTTTCTCTAACTTGTCAGCTAATTTTGCACAGTCCAGTGAGTAGAGATGAATTCTCAGACCTAATGTGATTAAAAAAAAATAAAAATAGTCCTCCAGCCAGCCTGCTCTTAAGTATCCATGCATTGTGTGGGAGGGTGCCTCTCTCCCTTCCTCCCTGCTCTAAAGCAGCTCCCCTCTGGGTCCCTGTATCCCCTACCCCCACCTCTTCACTTCTGTCTATTTTCCTTGGGTTGGAGCCTCACAATGAATAGGCAACATTTTTAAGAAGGAGCAGGGATGGGGGCATTGAGGAAGAGGCCACATGGGGTCCTCGGAGGAAAAGGAAAGGAAAAGGAATTCCAGGACAGATGTAACTCAATGGCACTCTCGGCTGCAGTGAGTGTGTACTTTATACTTAGCTAGCAGCACTTCACCTTGTGTCCTGGACTCCTTTGAGACCATTTTCCAAGAAGAAAAGAAAGCAATGTGGTTACCAGCATCGTCTCAGCACCGTGAGGACAATCGCCTGCCTGCTTTTCCTGCCAGACTTTTGTGCTGCAAACATGCAAGCTCTTCTCTTTGTCTCCCTGCCTGCTACCTTGGGTGGCATTCTTTTGGGCCAACAAATAAGGAGAAGTTGGATGCATTGCCACTCGTTTGGAAAAGGTAAATTTTACCTGAAAAAAAAAAATATGTGCACCATAAGTCCTCAGATTTCCTTAAATAACAGTGTGTGTATGAAACGCCCAAATGTTTAGCCCAAAGTAGGCTGAAAGTGTGATGTCATAAGAATCTACAACATCTCCTCTTGCCGTCTGTGTTAACAAAGATGCCTGACCAGTAATAGTAATTTCCATGTGCTACGTAACTGTCTACAAATGAGTTCATTTCATACAAAAGGTATATTTCCTTTAGGAAGAGTCAGTTCCAGGACACACATGCAAGCCGGTGACACTCCCTCGTGGTCCTGGGTTTCCTAAGGTTATGTATCCCAAAGCGAAGTTCTTTTACATTTCTTTGGTTAGAGAACTGGATTGGGACATCTGAAGCCCTCGGATGTCTTGTGTTTGGAGGAGCACTTCCTGACGCCAGGTTCCTATCTGGGAGAAACAAGTTCTAGTTTGGATTTCTGGTGCGAATTCGATGCATCCTTGAGTCCAAAGTCAGAAGCTCTCATCATTCAACTTTCTGAGATATTCTTGGTATATCATGTGCACTTATACTACAGGAGATTAATCAATATCTCAGAGACCCGACACAGTTATAAACTTGTTTATCAGCTGTCTGAAAGTTTATTCCAAATCAGGAAGCATTGACTTTTCATGGGCTCCACTGAGTAAATGGTTAATTTGATTTAATGTAGGATGAGATCTTTATAGACTATTTACTAAATTCTAGAACATTATTACAGTATTCATTCATGATAGTTCAGTAATTAGGGGTGAAATCAAGATGGGGCTTCCTTTTTATGACATCAGATACCCATTTATGAGATGGGTTCAGGTCAGACTCCCAAAGAGGCTCTGCTTTGATGGAGTCACAGAAGGAATCTGAAAGAGTCTATTCAAAGGCTCCTGGCTGTCTCCTGGAGGCATCAGCTGAGATTTATCCCTCCGATTTCTGCAGGACCCCTGGGCTTCATGTGTCTTTTCACCTCTGCGTTGAATCTGAGAAGTCACAGCCTGGAGGCACCTCACCAGTCTACTTCCTCCAGTGGGCAAAAATAACAAGATTTACTAAAGAAGAATGTGCACTCTCTGAATCCCCAGGCCAGGCGGGAACAGTGCTCTGGTTCATGGAAGGCCAAAAAGACCACATGGAGGTTAGCTTGCTTATATAATGGGAACGATCAATCTATGCCTCCCGTCAAAGACGACAACTAATACTGTCCTGCAGAGTCAGGATGCTTCCTGTACCTTCATTGGAGGTCAAAGGGTCCGGGGAAGAATTAATAACCAGCAAAATTGACATTTATTAATCACTTAGCTGTATGTCCTGTATCGTGTTAAGTTCCTTACAGTCATTCTCACTTTATAAGGCAGATGCTAATGTTGCTTCTGTCTTACCAGTGGAGAAACCAGTGGAGAAACAACAGCACAGGGATTTGAAATGAATCGCAGTGGTCAAATGCCGCGATGGTTCCTGTGTGTGCAAGCGCTTTGGGACTCCTTCCCAACTTGAATAATCATCCTACTGTCTTGGTTTGAGCTAGTTGTAGAGACCAAATTCTAAAGAACAAAGCGTCTGAGTGATGTTGAATGCTTCCTAGGCTGGAGTTCAAGACAGTTTATTTCTCACATTTTAATTGGTTCTCATATTTCTCCCTCTCAGGGATGCATACAGCTTTGAATTGCTACAGTCAAGTCATCAGTGCATAGGCTGGCTTTTTGTTGTTGTTGTTTGATTTTTGTTTTTTTTTTTTTTCATTTGTTTTACTTCTTATTGATTCCTTGTGAGATTCACATTGTGCACCCCAGTCCCGCTCATCCCCCCATCCCCTCATATCTGTCCTTCGCTCTTGCAACCTCCCTTGCAAAATAAAACACACACACAAACAACAACAAAAACAAAGCATAGAAAACATCTCATCATGGAAGCTGCAGTGTCCCACAGTATGTCCCTCTGGCCACACATCTTCACAAGCAAATGTTCATTGCAATGAGTCATTGGTCTGGTTCGAGATCTTTGACTTCTGTGACACCATCAATATTGGATCCTCGTTGAGACTCCTGGTTATCCTGTTGCTGCCCTGTGTCATGGAGATCCTGCAGCTTTGGAACAGCAAGAGTGACCCTTTCATGAGTCTCAAGCATTCACAGATAGATTTTTGGGGTGGGCCAATTCAGAGTCCTGAATCTGGACCTGGGCGGTAGCTGAGCTGCTCAGCCTGCTGGCTGGCTCTCTCCTATCTGCCTACCAGGGCAAGTCTCTAGCACTGCTCTTGCTAGGCCACCCAATGCTACCATAGGCGGGTGGCAGGGTCACCTGCACCCACTCCTCTAGAGCCAGATCTACTGTGCTGCCCAGGCAAGGCACAGGGCCCACTCTCCCAAATGCTACAGCCTCTGAGAGACTGAGGCAGCTCTCCTGCTCTCACAACCTCAGGGCTGGTTTACCCATGCCTTCACCATCATCAGTGCCGTCTCTACTGTGTTCCCCAAGCAAGGTGCAGGACCCTCTCTTCTGAGTACTACAGCCAGAGAGAGAAGGGCTAGCTCTCCTACTCCCATGACTCCAGCTCTCCCAGCTACTGCAGATGGCAAGGTGAGGAGGCAGAAGGCATCACCCTGGCAGCCACACCACCTCATGCCTAACGAGTGAGAAGGCCAGCTTTCCCATGCTTTCACCAGTGGCTGGCTCACCCGTATCCCTTCAACCAGGGCCAGGACTACTGTGTTGTCAAGGTGTACTGCAGGGCCCACTTTCCCAAGTGCTGCAGCCAGTGAGGGGCAGAGAAAGCTTGCCCACTCTCATGACCTTCAAGTTAGCTCTCCTGACTGCCTCAGGTGGCAAGGGATGAGGTGGTGGAGGTCATCTACCACTCCTTCACCCAGGTCACCTCATGGCAGAGGCAGGGCCAGTTCTCCCTGGATTACGCTCACCTGAGCCCCACCACCAGGCCCAGCTCCACTGCTCAGGCCAGGTGGAGAGCCCTCCAGACTGCTGCAGGTACTGAGGAGCAAAGGAGGGGGAAGACATTATTCCTGCTGGCAGGGCCAGCTCTCCTGAGTGCTGCAGCTGGTGAGGGGGCAGGACTAGCTCTCCCACGCTCAGGACCCTGTGGGCAGTTTTCCCAGCTGTTGGATGTGGCAAGGTGGGGAGTTGGGGCCACCTCATGGCAGATGAGTGGTCAGGTCAGCTCTCCCACACTCACACTCTTTGGGCCTCCTCATCCACACCCCTGCCACAGGGCCAGCTCCACTGTGCTGCCTGAGCAAGGGCCTGTTCTCCAGAGAGGTGCATCCAGTGAGGGGCAGGGCCAGTTCTGCACAGCCCCGGTCTCATGTGAACATCCTGATCAGGGATACCTCCATGTTCTCTAGTGGTAATATGAGTGGTAATATGGACATTGATACCAACCCCTGTGGTTGTGTAGCCATGAACTCAGACATAGCTAGCCCTCTGCAGCATCTTAGGCTGAGACCTCATCATGGCCCCAGTGGCAGGGCTAGCCACTCACAACAGGCTACTCCTCTTCACCCTCAAGTCTCCAGTTCCATCTCTTCATAATGCTCAAGCCGTTCACTTCTATTTCTCTCCTGTCTGACCACTCCTTACTTCCACATTGTGATGGCTCCTGCTGCAGGCTGGCCACGCAGCTGGCCTCTGGATGACATTCTCCAACTGTGCTGACGGGCAGGGCAGCAAGTGGGGGGTCTATGGTCTACCTATGCCTTGTGCTGGAGGGCTGGCATTGTGGCATGGTGGTCTGCAGGTCTCTGTCTTCCTCCTCCCATGCTGCATTTCCTGGATTTGATTTGATTTTTGAGTCCTAGGCATAAGACAGCTTTGGCCATCAAGCCAGGCATCAAGCTAGGATGAACAAAGGACTGCCATCTGCTCTGCCCCTGACTGATAAAAGAACAACAGTACTAACAAAGTCTCTTTGCCCACTGCCAGGGGCAGTGCACAGGTTTTGAAGGCAGGTTATTATAGTCTACCATTTTGCCCTTCCCAATGGCAAAGGAGATTATTTGAGAAGCTGAAACACTGACAACCAATGCACCCTTGATAAGTATTTCATCCAAGCTGCAGAAAAATTTGATCTATTTCCAGAACCTCATCAGATCAGTGATGGCAATATCCGTATCAGCGAGCTAGGATCACTCCTTCCCTTGGATATTCTGAATTAATCCTTTTTTTTTTCCAACCCTTCCTTTTGAAAACTCCAAATAAAGTTACCTTTATCTATCAGCACATTACTTCAAGCAGGGCTGTTAAGTCACTAATCAGATCACAGTTTCTTTCAAGTCATTTCTGTTCAGAGAATACAACACCTTAACCTTAACCTTAACCAACCTTAACCAAACTGGATATAATGTTACTCTATAGATCTCAAATATTAACCATCTTTTATTATCTATTACTTTTGGGCTAGGACTAAAATATAAACAATTCACCTCTTTGACCTCTTTTTGGGAAGTGGTTGTTTTCCTTGAGAATTGTTGGGACTCGGCTTTTCAGAATGTTGACTCTGTTTCTATGTTTTTATGACAACGCTGGGCTGCATCAATGATAGCTCTTGGCTCTCTCCTACCCATCCAGTTAGGAGTATGCTAGTCTTCCTTAGGAACTGTTGAACAATTTTCAACAAGTAACTATTATTTGACACAATCTCAGGAACTATAGACAATATACTTTCCCCATTACCTGCTTTTTAGTAACAATATACCTAATACATATTCTATTCAGGTGTTCAGAAAGTCCATGGAGAAATACTTCCTAACTACTTAGATCTGAGGGAGAATGGTAGTGTGTTGATATTTTCATCACAGGAGCAAATGCCTGAGAAAAGTGTTTTAAAGCAGAGGGATTATGTAGCTCATTATTCCAGGGCCATAGGCCATAGTTGGATGATTGTGTTGTTTCTGGGTGATAAAGTAGAACATTATGGCTGAAATGTATTGAGAGGTGAAGCTGCCTATTCCATGGTAGCCAGGCTCAGGCCAGGGCAAGGACAGCCCCAAGGACACATTCTCAGCTAGGACTGGCACCCTACAGTTTCCAGCACCTCCCCAAACAGTGCCACCAACTGGAGACCAACCCTTTGCAAGACTCTGTCGAGCCTTAGCTTACCAGAGACCCCCTGAGTGAACTGCACAGAGCCAGGATTCGATGCAAAAAGCAAGAGGAATTTATTGTTCCAACACATTGGGGTTGTCTTGCACCTGAAGGAGAGGCAGCGAGGACCCTAGGCAGCCCTTTTGGCCAGTTCTTATACATTATACAGTTTTTAGGGCTGCAGCCATTAGGCACAATGTGATTGGCAGAACAGTGTGACTTTTTAAACTGATTGGTCTTTAGGGAATAAAGTGGCAAGGACCTCCCTTGTCTGTAGATGGCAAGGGTTGGTCCGTCCTGCAGAATGTGTCTATGTGCTCTGGGCCTTTCCCACCCACAGGTGGGTTCCCTCCCCTGTGGTCTGAGGAATGTTAATCAGCCTCCTCCTTGTAGGGGAGCAAGTGTCTCCTGACCAAGGAATGTTAATTAGCCTCTCCCATCCTGAGAGACAAGTTTCTCATGACATTTCCAAAGTTCTTGAGCAGACTTCTTCACCTTTAACACTTAATTAAGCTTGTGGGAAATTTCATATTTAAACTGGGACAAATGACCTTAATGATGTGCAAAGAAGAATGAAGAAGTGTTATCCTGATGCTACATATCAACATGTTTCATCTTCTGGACAGACATCAATTCTTTTCTTGCTACCTCTCCATCGTCGCCATGTGGATCCTCTGCCTATGTCTTAGGCAGAGTCAGCATCCCCTAAGTAATATAATGCTTTTTATCCCTGACCCTGGCCTTGCTTATCTCCCAGTAACTGCCATGTTTTCCCCTCTAATAACATCTGAGAAACATTCCTGGTAGAGGATTGTGGGGCTGTAGCTCATGTGTGGGTGTGGGTCCTATTGGGCTGAGTTGTGGATCCCGTTTGTCTGCTGTGCCAGGAGGCTAGGGCCACGGGTCAGCGAGGCAGAAGCATGGGGATTTGACTGAGCTCACTCCACGTGGGGCCAGGCAGATGCTGGGCTACGGAAGCCATAGAGCTCCACTCCGGATGTGGGGAGATCTCAGTCTGAGGTCCTGTGGGTGCCTGCGATGGCCTGTGGGGTAGATGAGACTCTTGGTCAAGGCGACTCACTTGGCTGGGTCATTGCTGGCTCAGCTAGCTTGCTTGTGGCTGGAACGTAGAGAAGTCCTCTGGCAGAAGATTGGGCAGAGGCTCATTGGTTGAAGGCCCCCTCTACGGTTCTCCAAGGCAGGGCCCAAAGACAAGTCTATGGTTTTAAAAGGTTTATTGTCATGGCAGAAAATGGATGAAGCTGTACCCCCATGTTCTCAGGGCGGGCCTGAGGTTAAATACCTTTTGTAAGTAGGAGGAAGGTCTGGTAAGAAATGCTTAATTGGCTATGCCCTCTGGCCTTTAGGTATCTCATTAATATGGAGATCTCTTGAGGCTCTGCAGCCTGTGGTCATGCCCTCTACCTGTGCTATGTGACACAAACCTCTCTTTGGGAGGGGCTGTAGGGGCATTGTCCTACATGCTTGAAAGGTGCAGATCAATGGAGGTCTTTGGCCTTGTGTCAGGAGCCTGGAGTCTGGGAGCATGGCAAAATGCATGCTATCCCTTGAAGGAATACCTGTTGGGTCTCTGGCCATCTCTAGCCAGTGCTCGACCAGAAGCCATGCTATCCTTTCACAGTCCATCACCCCACAGAGGATATGGAAATCAACCCTGTGAAGGAAAAAGTGGAATGGAGAGCTAGGCACCACAGGCTCCTGTGACTCCTCAAAGAGTCCTGATCTGCCACACATGTTGTGGCAGTCTTGACTGAATGCTTCCTTATCCTATAGGCAATAAACTCAGTTCTCATTAGAGAACTTTCTTTGTGCCATGGATGGCAGTTAATACAGAAATTCATAACTGGTCAAAGTATAGAGAGGAAAGGTACTTGGCCTCAAATGGGACACCCGTAGACATCTCTTTCCTTCAAGGCTCAGGACCACTGTGGAAGAGGGATAGAACCCTTATAGCCAGGGGCTGGAAGATCCAGATTGAAATGGTGTCTTCTAGACATGACAGGATTGCTGTGTAGTGAACATTTTTGTTTCTTTAAAAACACAGAAGTGCTATGGGAATGTGTGTGTGTGTGTTTTTTTTAATATGTTTGTGTGGTATATGGTGCTGTTTTGGATTGCCTACAGCAGCAGACTATGATTTACCTCGTGCTTTGGCAGGGCTGTGATTTTACCAGCTGCAGATAGTTTCTGCAATTGTATGACGTTTGGAATTCTGAGGAGTCTTGAGAGGGTATAAAAATGCTAGAGCCCTGAGGGGTATGGCTGCTCCTGCTGCTGCTGCTGTTGCTGCTGCTGCTGCTATGATGATGATGGTGGTGGTGGTGATGGTGGTTGTGGTTGCTGGTTGCTGGTTACTTGTTACTGGTTGCTGGTTGGAGATATCTTGACAATGAAGATCAAACTTGCCTCAAGGAACTTGACACCCCTAATCAGCAGGAAATAGTCTAATGATATCAATGCCCACTTTCCCCTCGAACCTTCTTTCTCTCCTACCTATTGTTGAGAGGTTGAAAGGGATAAGGGTGGTAGGAAAATGAATGCATAAACCAGGCAAAAGTCCAGATATACTGTTGCACCAGTGAACTCAGAGCAAATGACACCAGCTGCACAATACTTGCATAATCCAGTCAACATTCCAGCATGGATGGGAAGAAGCTCATGAACCTCAACTTTTAGATGAGGAGCTGTGGTTAGCTGATGGCTTCTGAGGGAAGAAGACTATGTTTTCTTTAAAGATGTGGACCCTGGTAGGTTGTTTCAGTGGATGGCCATGCGCATACACTATATCCAAGCAGTACAGAATGGACTCAGTGGGTTATTAAACAAAGGAGGGGGGATGACTTTGGGAAGTAGTGTGGACATGGGGGTGAATCTGGAAGAAGCTAGGGGAGGAGTAACAGTGAATGTGAATATGTGTGCATTATGAAATTCTCAAAGAAATAATAAACATATTATATATTTTTTTAAGAAGATGTTTTTTGAAAAGATCATGTGTTCAATGTTCTCCATCTACCCCTTGAGGAAGTAGTCGCTTTTGGCTGTTGTTGTTAGTCTGAAGCTGAATCAATGGTTAATCTCACCCATTCAGGGCAACAATTAAAGAAAGGAAGATTGAAAGATAAGAAATAGAAAAAAAAGACGTATAGAAGTTAACAAAGACTCTAAAACAAGGGTAGGAAACCATGTGAGCCCAATCAACTGTGACTAACAAGAACATTAACAAAGCAAGGGAGATCTGGCAAACCTTGCCAGCAGCCAGGAAGTCCTTGCTAAGAAAGTGGCAGGTTCCCTCATATCTGTCACTAAAGACCAGACCAGACATGCCCCTTGACAGATGCAAGACCAGCCATCTGACTGCTGCCTGGGTTGGGGGTTTGAGTCTTCAGTTTCTCAGATTCCTTCGTAAAGTATTTATAGCAGATCCATAAAATACTTCTTACATCTCTCCTCATGTACTCTGTTCACCTCCCGACCCAGGGCAAAGTGTACAGCATCAATTTCATGTATCTAAAGTAGCTGAGCCAGAGAACTTTGCAAACCCAGAGTGGCTTATATTCAACAACAACTCTGGGAAGACAGAGGTAGCCATTATTACTGGAAACAACATATCTTCATTGTTTTTATTGGGTCTGTACTAGAAATAAGAAAATGGGGCAGAATGCTTCTGGGTATTTGTTGATTTATTCCTTGAATAAAATTGGTCAGAATAAAGTTCCTTAAAATAACGACCACGCACAATATACAAGCTGCATGTTGTTCCTCTTGCCCCTGCTGCCCTCTCTCCTCCTCCCTCCTCTGCCTGTATTCAACCAAGAGTTCCTAG